TTTTTGTAACATGTTGCAAGGATGTAGGGTGTCCTATCTTAAATTCTAGCACGTTTTCTATCGAACAAACTTCTGTCTCTACTTAGACAGTGTTTTTTCACATTTTGATCCGCTAAAATGTTAGAAATGGCAGTTTTTGATACCTATAGGGTTAGGGCCATCTAAAGAATGTCATCGGATAATGAGATTCATTTTTGACTTGTTCCTTTACCTTTTGATAAACTCAAGTTTCTTTCGTCGTCTCACGGTGGCACCGCAACCACGCGCTCATCTTCGTCGCTGGGAGCTTGGTTCGGACAGCGGACTGATGACGAGCTTGCAGTGGTTAATCGTCGAAGCGTCCAACCTCCTCGAATGCCCTTCCACCTGGATCCGCTCTCCGACAGTCGAAAACTCGGTGTCGCCTTGGTCGAGACCACCTACAACGAACTCAGGGAACGCGAGAGTGTCCGACACGGGGATCTCGTGCACGAAGACTTTGTCAACCGAAATGCTGCATTCGAAGTGGACGCGTAGACGCGTCTGCTTGGCCTAGATATCAATACAATCCCCTTCCACTTCTTCCGCAGTGTTTGTTTGGGCTAAAATATCACCTAATCATCGTGTAGCAACGACGCATTGACGAGCATCTACTAGCGGAAGAGCGCTTTGTCTTCATCCATCACCACGTCCGCCAAACAGCGCAAAATAATTACACGATTAAATAATTCAGGCCGCCCAAATAGGCTAAGTCGGTGTTTTCGGCGCGACCGCAGTGGCTGTTTACCCAGCGGTGTCAGCTGCGGTGGTGGCGGTGGGCTTAGATAAATAATTCTGTGGAGTCGCAGACTGAATAGGGCGTTTGCGCTGTGTGTGTGTGTGTGAGTCGGTGACAGGCGCTACGCACCAGAGCCCGCTTTGATCAATCCAGGCTGGCGAGATAGGGTGAGAGGAGGGGGGCGGGGGGTTGCAGGGGAGGAAGCGGAGTGTCAGAAGGGGTAAACACGCCTCCGTTATTTGCAAATCATCCGCTCTGTCTCCCATTAGTCGTAAGGCGAACCCGCTTTACCGAAATCACCATTTTCGCGGAATTTACCTTTGTCCACACCATTTGACCTTGACTGTTTTCTCAAGGACGGCCCCTGATTTGTCAGCATGTGCAGATGATTCCCTAATAAAGCCGCCGAGACGGTCACTGAAAGTTTACTGATTAATATGCCGTCAAACCGAGGAGACACCACATCGTCCGAAAAGTCGTGTAGTATTGTTGATTCGGACACCGTTTGCCTTCAAGTCTACTCTCGGCATCTTCTATTGAGGACTTGAAAAGATGTATCCCACTCTCAACCAATCAAATACCTTCAGGTAATAAGACGACCTCTGTCGCAGATGACAGGTTTGTTGTAAGATAGAACGCTGTTTGGATGGCACGGAAAACCACTTCTCCTATTAGCTAACACCAAGTTTACCGTAGGCACCTCAAAATGCAATGAGGGTGCGGGCTGGCATTAGTCACCATAAACCGACCAATCAAAACCCGACAGTAGCCCTAGCAATACCGTGGCCAAAATGGATCTTGGGCGAGTAACTAACGTTAAGAAGAAACGCGTTTGTGCTTGTTTTGAAGGGTGTGGAACCTCCCTTAAGTGGAGGACCAATCACATGCGTGCTTCGAGCGACCGGCTGTCACCACGCGTGGGAATGAGATGGCTTTGATCAAGTTAGTTGAGAGCTTTAGTGGGGGGAGGGGGGCGGGTGGGAGATGACGCGGGCAAAACAAAATCACGCCCAGGAGGGAGGGGTGTGGAGTGAAGTCGCGACATCAAGCTAAGCCTGGGATGAGTGAAAGCCTTTTACCATGGTCGGAGAGGTTATTAAGCGACAATAAATTTATGAATGAACAAACATCGGCGCTAATACGGCATATGCTTACTACCACAGTCGACAACGGTCAAAAATTAGACCCAGATTTAACACATCTAGTCCACATTACGAAGAAAGAGCAATTTATCGAGATATACATCGTCTTCCTCTGGAAACAGGCATTATTCATGCCTTAACTACTCCTGACACCATCATCTCAATTTTGCAATATTACTATAAGGTACTCGAGACTAGCTGCTTGCATAACTGCGTCCCGATAAACGGAATTATGCTGATCGACGACGGTTTTGTGATGGTAACTAGTCTGATCTAGTCACCGACAAGTTGACAGCCATTCTTCAGAATGTCCTGTTCAACAGCCTTCCACTGCGAGTTTGATGGTCAAGTTAAACGCGACCACGGTGCGTCTGTGTGCGTTGATGACCTAACATTGAGAGCGTGCGACAACACAATC